CCCTGTTATGGGGCTCGCTGCCTTCTGTGTTTGTGGGTATTTACTAGACTCTGTTTTTAGGGATTCACCTTTGCCCAGATTTCTTTTTCTTTGTTTGTTCTGTAAAAGGCAAACGATACAACAAGCTCCACTTCGTAAATGCATTTTATGTATTTTAAAGAAAACGAGCCGTTCTGTGCTTATCTCAAATTAAGGAATGGAGCAGCACTGGGAGGAAGAAAACGTGGTGGCTCTAGGCACGTACAGCAGCTCCGAGCGTGTTCCTCTCTTCGTAGGGCCAGTACTTGCCTAGGCAAGCAGAGGACGTGTTTTCCCCACCCCACACACACTCCTCTCCAGTTCATGAGCAACTGCAGATTTGCTCTTGCAGACGTACCCTAGGGACCGAAGCTTTCACAAATTCCCACGTACAGCATCCTCCTAAATGATCTTTATAAACCGAGGTCCTTCAGTCTCCCAACCTTTCTGATTTGTCTCTGTGGAAATTCACTGAAGCCCTTCTGATCCAGCCCAAAGTTCCAGCTCCTGGGACTTGCCATCCATGAGTCAGGAAAGCTCTGAAGGCCAGCCCTGTTTCTTAGTGCGGTATGCCCTTCTGCCCTCTCTGGGACAAAGCCAACATACACTCTGGCTGTAGGCTGGAGCCTCGCATTCAGTACCAGCAATGATGTACTTTTCCTACAGACAGACAGAAAAACATGCTTTCGCGAAGGGGAGGGAGAGGAGACGGACTCCATACAAATAGCAATTTATCTATTTTTGTAGTTATTCTTGGAAATAATAAACATGAGTTCAATAGTGAAAGATCACCTTTATGTGCAATGACAGACCCTTTGAGCAGCATGTTAATGAGATGTCTAGTGCTTTTAAAGAGCCTCACGATCCCAAAGAGCTGAGTTCCAGGGTATGCTCCTTTGACTGCACTTTTCCAACTGATTTTTTTCTCCTGTAGCATATAAGGGAAGGCTCCGCTGATTAGAGCAGGACTCCTGGATTCCATTCCCCTTTCTGACATTGCCTTGCTTTATGACTTTGGGTAAGACAAGGTCTATGCCTCAGTTTCCCCCATCTCTAAAATAAGTAGTGCTCGTCAT